GGGGCCCTTCTTGGTCTCTTCCAGTGATTTTGGGTCATACTAATAACCCATCTTTGACGTTTTGGACTCCATGTTCCAGATTTCAAATCCAGACCACAGACACGATCGAATCGAAGCTTCCCACCGCTATAACCCACGATCAATCACTATTAGTCACGCAGCAGCAGCCCTCATTACATCTACGATTGAACTTTGATCCCAATTTCGATCGAAGTTTGTGATCTGTAGGCTGTCTATCTAATTCGGTCACCCTTCTCCATGGCGCTGTTGGATCATATGTTGAAACAAGACGTATCGCCATTCCGGGCAAGGGATAAACACGGGTTGTGTCGACTTCTGGAACGAATGGTAAGCAGACTACGGCACGGAGCTCGGGATTCGAATGGAATACGAAGGTGGTGTACCAACTCCTCCATTCTGCCATTTGTTCTGCTCCCCCATGGTGCAATATTCGTGGTCTCGTCCGTCACTCTGAACTTTGCCAAGACGTTACCCAATTCGCCCGACTCCCGCACTAGCCGTCCACCTTCGTTACCACCAGTATGTGCGACCTCCGTCTCAACCGTCCCCCCTATCTTTCATCCGAGGCGCTCTCAGGCACTCGTTAGTCCTCATCGCCGCATTCACACGGCCCGAGCCCCACAAAAACCCGATTTTACTTCTACATGTCTTTGCATCGGGGATCTATCTGGTCGCCGGTGGGAGAACAAGGCGAAGATGCGTGTTTTATGATGTCTCGGAAAAACTTAGGTGTTGTGTTACATCACTACACTTCAAGTGATATGAGTGTTTTCTAGATGGGTTTGTTTGTCAGGTGTGTATTTTTTTGTGTCACGTCTCGTTAGGTTATGTCCGTCCCTTGCCTTGTTATGCCTTTTCGTTTTATGGCAAGCTCGACTGTCTTTACATGTTCGATGGATGATAATATAGAAATGGCTGGACGCTGTTATTGACGTGCGTCGTTCTCGTCATAGTAGCAGGGGTGCAAAAATTAAAGCATGCGGGTCGCGTTGATGTTCCATGGCTGGGCGTGGTTTACACTGGGTTTTGGTTCTTGTGCCAAGAGTCTCTCTATCCCCACGTCTGCCGGAGAAATTATCTTTGCACAGTACCATTGCTCCATCCATCTGGAGGCGGCCATGATGATTGGACGCCGTGCATGATATACCTACACGGTCATCAGTTTCTCAATTTTCTGATACTTGCTGGCACTGGTGCGGCGATGTGGTGTTGACAAATCTGAATTTCAAACATACTGATACCCGCAAGCCCACTTACCCTCTACCAGGGACCAGCAATGCTTTATCTATTTGCCCATTGGTCAGGAATGCGCATATTCGCGTTCTAATTCTGCCAGTGATCACTATCCATTCGGTTTAGGTCAGTACCTAGCGTTCACTGTGTCTCATCCCTTTCTATTTGTATTGTGTATGCGCGCACGCTATTGAATGGGAGTTGGAGGTGCCACAGACATGCATTATATCGCGTTCAAGTTCATGCTAGCGCTGGTATTCACTATCGATGGTGATTCGGGCTCAGTGGAGCTCGTTGAGGTTGGACGTTGATTTATATCTGACGTCACTTTAGCTTCATTTTTATCCTCGCCATCATCATGAGCGATATCAGATTCAACGGCTAATCACCCAGTTTCCTCTCATCCGAGACATCACCCAATCGTGTGCGTTCTTTTCACTATGTTTCGTTTCGTTTCATTTCCCCCTCCGCTTCCATTTCTCATCACAGCCGGTTCATGGCGTCTCCCTCTCTTAGCTACGTATGCAGGCATTCGCTTACCAGACAAAAACGAGGCCGACTTTCACTCTCGCGCTCCCTTCCTTGCTCTTTAGCGAGGCATCTCCCGGATCCATTCAGGTCCGTGTTGTTCGCTGTGTCCCTCCACGGCGCTTGCGTGCTTGCCTCGCCTTGTTTTGCCTACCCGCTTCTTGTTTTCGTGCTTCGTGTTTCGAATTCGGGACTTCGGATGGAGAATAGAACCTCTGGATCATGTCCGGATCCCTTATTTGTTGCGTTTTCCGGACTGGACTCCCGTATGTCGTGTTGGGGATGGAATGGAAGGGGAATTGCACGAAATGAGGTTTTGCTCCTCCTTGGGAATGTCGATTTGCCTGCTGTTTGGGATACGGGACGGGCATCAGTTATTTCGGGTGGAATACTACTACGCGTGCTGGCGAGTTGCTTTGGGGCAATACAATCATCTAATCAGCTCTGGTATCCCGCGAGAGGAATTGGGTTGTGATGGGCTGATGTGGGGGTATACGTCTCTCAGAGTCGTATGAAGTGATTGATCTGCTCCTTTGTTTGTGTGATATGGGATAGACGAAGTTTTGTACAGCGCAAGATGAAGAGATAGCTACTATATCGAGAATATCTCGTTGGTTTTTTCGTTGGTGCGTATATGTTTCTGTCTATGTTCGAAACTATTTTTTTTTCCGCCCCAAATTACATACTGATGGCTCAGATTGCAGCCCATTCTACTATGTTGCGCGATTAGAAAGGCATTGTGAGTACTGTAATTTCTGTCCTGACGGCGATCACACTTGCACACTGATAGATCCTGGACCAACGCACCATCAACGATCAGATACCGGGGTACTATAGGCTTGCCCACACGCCCACCCTACACCACTATCTTCTCGCGATTACACCCAACCGGAACCCATCACAACCCGACAGGATAACCGGCGGAAGAATCGATAGTCAAAATTTGCAATTATATATCGCAATCCATAACCCCAGGCCATACCTCCCATCTTGAGCGTTATTCATCGTGGTATCAAGTTTTTTTGGGGGCTTATCATCGTGGGTGAGTTATACGTAGAACTATGATGATATCGTCTATGAAGTCATACCCTACCTGTTGTATCAGAGAAATTCTATCCTGAGCCAGTCAGTACCCACTTGCTGTGAGTCCAGCGATTGGATCCACCTGCTCTCAGCGCTAGGTTAGCCCACTGTACCACACGGAGGCCTTTCCCCACAATCAAGTTCCTGTCAATGGACCCGGGCCACCGCATCTTATCTATTCACATACACATCCTGGAGGTCCAATCATGCAATGCCATCCCACGCTATCTGGCATAAGTGGCGCATATCTACAGCGGTTCTGTTCCAGATATAGGTTGGGTATGTATCACCAATCCAAAACTGTGGGACCATGGTTGGCGTTGGCATTAGCCCATCAACATGCAGTGGTGAGGTGTACGTACGTTCCATCATCCATCAAGCATCGGCGATGGAAGAGGCAGGTAATATCGAGCTGTAATTTGTCTCGCACGAACTTTACCTTGTTTTGTTTTATTTTGTTCTGGCCCTTGCTCCCTTGTTCCTTTGTTGCATCAATGTTGTTATGACATGGTATTCGTGCAAGTCGTACTCGATCATGGTGGAACGATGTTTCCGGAATTATCAAACGACACCAAAGTTATGGCAGCAACTAGAGAAGCGCTTCGCTTAGCTACTCTGCAGATGAACCCTTGTTTCGGTTGTCTCTACAATGTCAAGAAGTTCCTTTCCTCCTTCTCTTCTTTTTCAACCCCCTGGATGGAACCATTGTGAGTATTCATTTACATGAGGCTTCTCGTAAGCGAGGCATTTCCTTTCGATGCACACTACAATGCAGCCTAAGCGCGACGCAGAATTGGGCGCTCGGAAATTTTGATGACTGTAACTTGACTATAACCTCCCGAGCTCACCAGACGATTCTTCACGGAATCGAAAATCGAAAATCCGGCGAATTTGATATTGAGTTTTGAAGAGCCTCGTACCCATCCAAATCCCTATCGATACGCTCCGTCTTTCAAAGAATATCCTCATTATCCAATACCCAAACCGCGCCTGGTTAAACTCTATCCGAAAACTTCCAAACCCGAATCCGAATTCATAAATTGTTCATTTCCGCCTCGAGGCTCGTAGAAGGTTCGTCCGGATCTCACGGTCTCACTTGTATCGTTCTCCAAAATCTGATGCTGATTCAGATGGGTGCCGTGCAATGCCTACACTGCACTATTTACGTTCCCGCGGCATCAACATCGCAACCAAATCCGAATCGTACAGCAAATGCCCAAACTCCCAAGTAACTTGAAGAAAAGAAGAAAGAAGGGACACGGACCTGAAAGTTCTTGGAGCGAAGTTGGAAGGTTTCGAGTCGCGCGCGAATAATCCCACACCGTGATCATTTGGCGCCCAGATTGAGGCTTGACGGCCCATGGCCCCTATTCTTCTACACGACAGGATTCGGGTTGATTTTTTGCAGGTTTTGTCTGGATTGTCCAGTTCAGTACTGAAGCGTGTATTGTGCGTACGTACTAGTACCCCCAATACATTGTATTCGGGTCGTCCGTTGAGCCACTCATTCCCCGCACGCGATCGTTGATCGATGATCTCGAGCAAATGCTATCATTATTGTATGAACGTTACCTTGGTTCGGAACGTCACGGTCCTCTACTCCGAGTTCAGTCACCGCACGCTAATGTTGGTAACCACGCTGAATGGAATTAACCAACGATCGATAAACGATATGGATCGCAGCCCCATACCCAGTCATTATAGAACGGCCCGCCTCTGGGTCAATCCTTGACTGTATAGGGATTACAGTAACCTTCATCTCCGCTGATGCTTTTGTTCTCCCCGCGCTCGCGCGTCGATCCGATCCGAGTATCACTTCATTTTCCACTCTCGAAATCCTAGCTGAACCTCGATCGTCGTGTCGGTGTCGCTATCAGTTGTTTCTGCCTACTTTGCATTGCAAGTACCCTACGCGCAAATTTTAGGATGGATATCGTGTTGCGTTAAGTTACTGCTAGCTGTTACTTTGATACCCACATTGTCAAATAGATTAATTCACGACGGAACCATATGGAGTTTGGTGAATTTCGACTGTACGGTAATCTGTCAAAGGCGATCTATAACCAGAAATTTTGATCTTCGTGCTTCAGCATGGAAATTACTGACCATAGTGTCTAGGTAAAAAAACACAAAAATTCGGATACGGGGAATCGAACCCCGAGCTGCCGCGGACCCGGTCGCCGTCTTTGGAGGGATTGGGTCCAAAGACAGCAAACAGACTGAGAGGCGGCAATGTTGACCGTTACACCATATCCGACATGTTAGACTTTGGGGACATGAGGATCATTATATCTTTACTGACGTCGGGGCAGCGACACTCCAAATCAAATCCCGATGTTGCTCCAAGGAATTAATATTCAGTCCCTTCCAGAAAACAAAGTAAGACTTGTTAATTACTTATCACCCATCATGGACGGACTCGAACGCTTTGATCAATATGATATCAGTTTGATCGATCGATCAACCGATGGTCATAAGGTGGCTCGCTCAAGCTCAACTGAGGTCTCGGGAACTGGCTTTGGACGCGTAGTTTGAACATTGGAATATCGCGAATTATCATTTTCTTGATCCATCAATTGGGCATTAAACTTGAGATCAACAGGTATACAAAGTGGAAGGTATACCTTATAAAGGGGTAATTTTATTTACACAGGTATTTTGATAAAATATGTATATCCACATCCACACCTACATCTCGGTGACGTCGAGCCCGAGGATGCAGATACGCGTAAGTTGGATAGTATTGCGCATCATTATCTTCGTCATCATCGGATACATACGACACCCGTTGTGGCGTCGCTAGTGTATGCAAAGTGCCAGCAGATTGAGATGCTGGATGAGCGAGTGGGCTCGGATGCAAATGCCATCGGTAGTGGATGCGGAACATCGTAGCCACAGCAAAATCGCCAGCCCACGTGAGCGTAGATGTGAACGTCGCCCAAGTTGGTCGCTGTCATGATGTGATTTCGAACGGCGATACATGAATGCACGTGTCTTTCGTCCAAGTCAAGTGCGAGGTAAATATGGGAATATACCGTGCCATGTCTTCGTCTATCATAACTTGGATTCAGGACCCACTTGTTTGACTACTACACATCGGAAGGTGGAAGTATCCGAGTTGATAATACGTGTTGCGTTACGGGAATCTCCAGGCCGTTGTAGAAGTGGATAATCACTGAAAACTGATGTGCGGCGCTGAGGCTGGGATATATGCGCATACATGCATGGTATAGTATTGGGTACCGATGGCGGACAACCGGTGAATTAGCCAAGACACAACCTGTAAATCAATCAACACCATGTGGATGGGGCAAAGCGCGTGTGGGCGTAATTTGGGCGGTCTCGCGTGCATACATGCAGAACTTGATTCGAATAGGCGTCGTCAAAGTGACATTTGTGCCGGAGATCATGGTTAATTGAGATTCGAGAGGTTGCCCACTGAATGCCGGACAGATCTTAAAGCATATAGTCCCAGTTTTAGAATCATTTGCGACGAAATAATGTTAATATTATCCAACCTCAATGGATGTCGACGTCACTCGAGTGTTTGTACACAGATTGGTATTTTTGTGAAGACGTCACTTGCATTGACCGAGGATTCGCACCTCAAATTCTATGGATGTGATTCGGCACCGCCTGGAAATCGATGAAGAGATGCTGATCAACCATGAACGAAAATAATAGCGAGAGTGAGAGTGAAGCAAATACTAATTAAAATTCCAACTATAACTTGATGATAGAGCAGATCAGCCTTGCACCCCGCGGATCGCAAGCACAATTCACTCGGTTTCGGCACCGCCTGGAGATCTTTGTAGAGGCGGATGGGCGGATAGACCGTGCGTGATAATAATACGATAGTGAGAGCAAATCACCAACGCCCAACTATAGCTCGTCAACAGAGCAGATTAGACATCCATACCCGCGGATTGCGCAGAAGAACGTTTGGTATCGGCGCCGTCTGGAGCTTGGGTTGAGTTGATGAACTAATAATAATGAGAGCGAACGCACTGGAGGAAGTCAACAACCAACCAACCCCGAGTCATCGCACAAGTGAAGGATATCGGCACCGCCTGAATCAAGGCCCATCGTGCGTCTAAATCAAGGCGTACAGTCCATCATATCTGAATTACAAGCCACTTTGAATCAAAGCCCACCAAGAATACAATCACGGTCCACGGAACGATCAGATCCACCCACACAAAAAGTCACTCATCCGTCGCTGCAGACTCACACAGTTGTCTGCTAATGATAGAATGTGGGGAAGGACCCGGGGGAGCGGCGGTTGTTTGGATGCACATGTATTTATTTGGCTGTGTACGCGGGTATTTACGCGTGTTAAACTCTGTATTTGCGCGTGTTAGGAGAGGTAATAGATAGATATAGTGATTTTGTCACCCGTGCCTGTGTTTCCATATCCGTAACAGGATATTCCCAGTCGGATATATTCCATACTACTCGGGCATCTTTCCATATTGGGAGGCTAGGACACATTCCCATACTCGGACCGAGACCCCGAGAAGCCAGAAGCTGGGGTGATTGTGCATATGGGGTGGGGTGGGCGTTAGAGTTGTTTTGGATATCAAAAACCGATACGATCAGGGATTCAATAATTCAACTTTTGAACTCTTTAATTGACTTCAGACTTTAATACCTGGACTTGCTCTCGCCTGCGATCGTGCAGCGACTGACGATTCCCGTGACACGAGGATTCAGATATTCAAACAACAGCTGATCATCATCTAGAGCTAGCGATGGCGTACAGCGTCAATGTCGTACGGCAAGACGGTTTCCAGCTCCCGTCCCCCGCACACACCGCCTCCCCCTCCGACACCGCAATAGATTCTCCCCTTCCCCACCCCCAGGCCCACACACCCACACAAAACCACACCCCACCCGCCGCATCCTCGTCCTCTGACCTCTTTATGCCACACAACATCTCCTTCCTCCCCGACTCATTCAGGAAGTTCCCGTCTGCTGCGGCTGTGCATTCTCCACACCCCAATGGCAGCAGCAATAATGGTAACAACAGCGGTGGCAACGGGGTCGTCGACTTTTCGGACGAGCTGGCTGGGCTGATCGCGCCCGAACATGAGCGCGGCGACCCATACCGACACAACATATTCGACATCTCAGCACCAGCGTCTGCTGCGCACACACATGGGATGTACCAACCACCAGCCCAAGGACAATCACCTCACGACCTGCACCATCAGCCCACGCATGCACACTTCAACTCCACATTGCCTGCACTCAACTCGTCGATGCGGTACGAGCCGCATCCCGACCCGCCACAATCCCAACAGGGTTTCAGCGGCTACCGGCATACGCCGTCCCCACACGGTTCGCGCTCGCGATCCCGGTCTGTCGGGCCGACGCGCAATGGGCGCAGAGAGCGCCGCGCGAACTCGATCTCGTCACAGTCACAGGCGGGTGCGTCACCGCCGCCACAGCACCAACGTCCACACCCGCATGCAATACTCATCCCTGGCCGCTCATCGTCCCTCGGGAACTCAGGGTGGTACGGCGCATACTTGCCCCCCGGTACAGGTGGGGAGTATGGCCGTGGTGATTACAATGGTGCAAGTGCGAGGGGGCCTGGAGGGGAGTATAATCTGCCTACACCAGAGAGCCTCACGCATTCATTTGGTGCTTTTGGGCCAGGGCAAGAATATAACGGAAATGGCGGAGGTGGAGGGAATAATGGGTGGTATGCGCAGGCGCAGGGGAGAGTGGACACACCTGGCGCTGGCGGGATGGGCGTCTCGCCAAGCCAGGTATCGACCATGTCTCCGCACGTGTCGTCCTTGGGCATGCATCACCTCCACAACCCTAACCCCAATCCACACAACCCTAACCACATTTCCCACTCTTTATCACACTCCCTCCCGCTCCCGCTCCATCCCTCCATTGCCAACGCCAAATACCACCACACACATGGTCACTCCCTCAAATCACCGACGTCCCCGACATCCCCGACCTCTCCTGGCTCGCCGTCCCCGCCCGACTCGCTCCTCTCCCCCATCTCGTCCTCCCTTACCGCCACATCTCCCATCGCTAACGGTCTGACCCCTACCACCTCTACCAACGGTGCCAACGCGAGCGCAGGAGGGGCGAGCGCCAGCACCACCAATCCCGGCGGTAACACGCTGTCAGAGAAGAGACGACGCAGGCGCGAATCGCATAATGCCGTTGAAAGACGGCGGAGGGATAATATTAACGAGCGTATTGGTGAGCTGGCAGGGTTGATCCCGGGCGTGCTGTTTGAGTGTGATGGTGAGTGTTATTTCTTTTTTTTGGGAGTGGGTTGCGAGGGGATTGGATTGGTGCATATATGCCATATGGTTGGATGTATGGGATAATGGAGGAGCGTACATGCGTCGATGAAGGCGCATATGTACGTTTTGGGTGCATATTTGCGTATGTGGTTCGTGTATGCGTTGATGAAGGCGCATATATGCACATGTGGTTACATGTATGCGCTGACGGAGAAGCATATATTGTGTTTTGAGTGCATATATGCATTGATATGTGCGTCTTGGGTACATATCGGATGCGTATATGCACACTCAGGTCCATATACACTCAGCGAGGTGAATATATGCGCATCGGGGCGCATATATGCACTCATTAATACGCATATATTTATATCTCGTTCTTATTTTCATCCCCCTGGACGTATTCGATGTTTAAGACATAAATGCTAATCACCCTCTTTTTCTACAGCTCCACTCGTCGTCCCCAGCGCGACCTCTTCTTCCAACACCTCCAATACCAATGCCACTTCTACCTCCTCCACCAATCCCAACACCACCAACGGCAACCCGCAAAACCCAGAGGAACTCTTCGCGCTTCTCCCCGACGGACTCGGGATAAACGACGCGATATCCATGTCCTTCGGGTCCTCCTTCGGCATGGGAATGAACTTCGGAGACATGGGTGTTTTGCCCGAATTGCCCGAGGAGGGTATGAATATGGGCATGAATATAGGCATGGATATGATGGGGATGGGGGGTGTGAAGGCCGATCCGAGCGAAGATGGCCATCCCAGCGGCAATGGGAACACGACTGGAGGCACGGGCGTTGGCAATGGGACGGGCATGGGTGCTGGGAATGGAACCGCGGAGCCGCAGACTATAAAAGCCAACAAGGGGATGATCTTGCGGAAGGTATTTCAAAATCAAATTCGAACTACCACATCCCAATAGCTAACCACCCACAACAGAGCGTCGAATATATCCGCTACCTGCAACAGCTCGT